TTATATTATATTAGAGTATATAACGTAATGTAATATAATATAATATAATATATTATAATATAATATAATATAATATAATATAATATAATATAATATAATATAATATAATATAATATAATATTATATAATATAATATAATATAATATAATATAATATAATATAATATAATATAATATAATATAATATAACTTATACACCCAACCCAAGCCGCTCTCGTCAGGTGCCTGGCAAGCGCTCGACTTCAAAGGCATCTAACGTGTCTGCGCGCACTTTGGCTGCTTCGAGCTTTCTGTCTCCACTCCTTCCTAACTTTTTAATTTGCGGTTCGATTACGCCAATTAGGGTATCTATGACTTGAAATACTAGCACTAATTGAGGTTCTTTCTGATCCTTCAGCTAGAGCCCCAGAGCTTACAAGATCGAATACAGCAAACACCTCAAGCAAAAGACCGAGTACAAGTATAAACCCCTCAACCCATCAGAAGAACCCCTTGTGGAACCCCATGTAGAATCCCCTTTAGAAGCCTTTGCGAGCCCCTAAGAAACCCTAAACCCCATCAACCCTGTAAACCCTCTAAGCCCTATAAATCCTCTAAGTCCTATAAACCCTAAACCCTCTACACCCTGAGACTCTTGAACCATGCAAGGCATCCACCTCGAGGAGGCGGCAGAGTCCGCTCTCCGGGTCGTGGAGGCCTTTGAGATAATGGAATTTGGGGGGCGGGATACAGGGGTCGCTGAGGAATTTGGGGTTTAGGGGCGTTTTGGCTTCGAGTTTCTCAGGCCTATGAAGGGGTGTTGAGGGTTTAGGGTTTAAGGTTTGCGGTTTAGGTAGATTTGGGTTTCTGGCTTGGGGCTTCAGCTGCTGCTAAGACGGCACGTCTGAAGCCTGTGCAGACGAAAGCCCGGAAGTGCTGAGCGGGGTTGGGACTCCGACGTTATGATGGACAAGCAAGACCAGCCCAAAGTGCCAGCAGCCCTAGACCATTCACGGTACTACTGAGATTTCGATGTTGAAGGCTAGCCCCTTAACCCTGAACCCCTTAAGACATCAACCCTTGAGCCTTAAAATTAAACCCACAAACCCTGCAATCTTAATGCCCCATACCCTCATAGAGCCCAGTAGAATCCGTATAGACAGCTTTCCGAACCCCAAACCCTAAACCCTAAGCCAACCCGATTAGACGCGTCTCGCCCGGCTTGGGCTTTGCAGCCAGGCGAGGCTCCAGTCGGAGCTCGCCGATGCGCAGGCCAAAAACCTCGTGTTCGGGGACTTAGGGTCTTCAGGGACTTAGGGTTCTGGATGAAGATAAAGCTTCAGGACTTTTGGGGGTCAGGGCCTGTGGGGTTTGAGGTTTGAGTTTAGGTTTTTGGGCCGGAGGGTTCAAGGTTCTGGTTTTCGGAGCTGCCGTTTCTGCTTGGAGACTTTCAGAGTAGTTGTTTGCGTGTTCATGTTGCAGACCATTCGCCTTTGAAAGGAACGTTATATGCTTACATACCCCATGTAGATACGTGTCTTGACCTTGGAATGTGAGCAAGGTTTTTGGAGGGATTGTGGTTACGACAGTTTGGGATTTTGTCCAGCATCTGCTTCATGCAAATGCGGTAGCATTCGCGGAGAGTCACGGAGAGTGTTTGGCTGGCCTGTTTGGCTTTCTACCAACCTGCACCTAACAGCGGCGGCATCGTACCTTCTCCTCAAGGTGACAGTGAGTTGAAGCCGGCATCTCCCGTTAAAGACCAGAGTGGTATTATCACGATCTTCATGTTTTCACTTGGAGAAGACGCAGAGTTTCTGGATGCCGCAGGTTTGCTCACCCAGCCGCGAGGGTCACCAGCAGTTCAGCTGCCAGACTGCACTTGTGAAATCCGCGAAATTCCGGAATGCAACTTCGAGTTAGCGACGCCGCTTCCGAGGCAAGCATTTCTCCCGCGCACGTGTGTGGGTGGGTGGGTGGGTGGGTGGAGGTCTGCCTCCCTCCCTCGACTCTCTCTTTCTCTCTGTCTCTCTCTCTCGCTGTGCGTGGTTGGTGTGCGTGTTGGTGCGGGTGTGGGTGTAGGTGCGGGTGCGTGGGTTGGTGGGGGGCAGCACGTCCAGCAGCTCTCGAGTACATGTGAAAGGATCTTAGGTAGTCACCGAGCGCAGCTTCTTGAGTTGCACCTTCGCCTCAGACAATACCGGAAGATTGTTCGAAACTCTACCAGTGAAGGTCATTGGGTTTCTATATGCAGGCGACCACGAGTGATTGGGACGTTCAGAAGAGAAGAGGCCTCAGAAAATCTAGATGCTGAATAAATATAGTTTCTGTGGGATCATGATTGTCAAGACACCCAAGTAGCATGAGGCGACCGGGAGACGCAGCTGCTCGCCCATGCGCAGAATGCCGTTGATGAGCTCACAGAGGATCCATACAGAGCATGCGAAACTCTTTGCAGGGGCCTTCATGCTTCATGAAGCTGCAGCTGCACCAACATAGTCTTTGTCACACTCCCATGTTGATTCCTGTACAGAAAGCCTTCAAGCTGAACCGCATCCTGAATAGGAAGGTGGCTGTAAGTTCGGCTCTTCCAACAATCTGCAGCGATAAGGAGAAACTCCCAGTGTTCGCTGCAACTTGCGCTTGGCGGGTGGCGTTAAAGAAAAGTCACATTCTGCACTCGGCTCGGCCCCGACTCAGTATTTAGAATCCCCTTTATAGTTAAGATTCCAGATTCCGACACTCCATCCGAAGCCTGTGCTCAACCGACCCAGCCAGGAGCTGGGCCGTGCCCGCGGGACGCTCTCTGCGGCTGCACCGCCTGCACCGCGTAGCGGCGATGCAGCGCCGGGAGATGACCTGGCACCTCACTCGGGAATTCCAGCGGTTTTTTTTTTGCCAGCTTCTCGGATTCAGGGTTCAGAACTCAGGAGGCTCAGGATTCGGGGGTTCCGGGTTTGGGCGCCTACTCAGCAGAACATGCCTGCTCAGATGCGTTTTCCTGGGTCCAAAGCAAGACAGTGGAGTCAGATTTCCCGCAAGCTGTATGCGACCCGTGTTGCTCCTGCTGATCGGGTCTCTGCTTTGCTCGAGCTGCACGCCCGACGTCTCTGGGCACTGCCGCTGACAGATTCAAAGACATGGGGTCTCTGTGATGCATCTTTGGTGCTTGGTGTTGCGAAGGTGCAGGCTTTCATCTCACTACCCACGTGCCACTGACCTATGAGTTTGGGTTGAAGTCTGGGACCACAAGCCCAAAACGCAAGCTTCAAAGCCGGTGGCCCTTTTTTTTCCAGCAGGTCGCTGCCGGGCTGCAGCGCAGAACAGGCATGATCTTGGCAGCACCTGGCCAGAGCAATGTCGGAGTAACGAGATGTGTTACCCAGTTCAAAGAGGCGTTTGCCATTGGCTCGCGCGCAACTCATTCGCGCGCTTTTGAGAAGGCTCTTGAGGTTCTCCCGGTATGTTCAGGAAGTTGTGCCCTTCGATTCTGGGTCGAGCCTCAGGGTCGTGAAGGACTTGAATTCAGGAGTTCCATACCTTTGAGCATAGAGCTCTTTCCAGTTTCTCTTGTGAGTCCAGAGCCCTCTGCACTTCTATCCGGTGATGAGGGGGTTGGGGTTACACACCGTGAGCTCAGGCAAAGGGCGAGACCGACTTCTACCTCAAGGAAGAGCTGCTGCGCCAGCAATTTATCAAGGACGCCGGATCCAGGGACATCCTTCGACTCCGGTTTCGGAGACTCTCCGAGCTCGATGTTCTCAAGGTCTTCGTGCCACGCTTCCATAAGATTCAAGCTCATGCAGGAAGAGCTCGATCGGATGCGCGACGAGCTCACCCGGCCCGCTTCCGCGGCTCTTGTGCGCCCTGTGCCTTTCTTGCACATTCCTGAGATCCTCACTTAACCTAAACTCCTCTACCTACGGAAGCACTGAACCATATACTGCTTTGGGTTCCAGCTTCGGGAAACGAGAACCAGCCTCCAAACCTGATCGTCGACGCTCGAAGCACCGAAGCTCGGATTCATCTCATGGCGGTCGAAGGTGCCGGCGATGGCGGAGCGAGCGCCGCAACCGAGGGATCCCATCGTCCCCCCTGCACCACCCGAGGAGGCGCCCAGTAAAGCTACAAAATTGAATCTATGCAAGCTGTTCTGTTCGGTGGAGTTTCTTCCGGAGTTCAGGCTGGTGAAGTTATTGTCAGTGGGCCGCAGACTGCAGAGGTTTTGGGACCCTTGACAGCCTTACTCTTCTCCATATCGTACTTCTGCAGCCGGAAATCGAGAGATCCAAAGGGCCTTGCATCTCAGACCAAAGGATTTTCTGTGGCCCTCCCTCCTCCGATGCAGGTCTCCTCCAGCGACCTCCGGGTCCGCTTGGCCTCCCTTCGGAGTCAGCTCAGCGAGGCTGCGGTTAGGGTTTTTGGTGGGGGTTCATCGGGGTTTAGGTTTCAAGATGTACGCTCCGGGGCCGGGCTAGGCTTTAGGGAGTTCAGCGGTTTCGTTCTGGGTTTGTGAATCACGGTTTGGAGTTTAGCGTTTTGTAGGCATCTGTTTGTATGCTGCGTGAGCTTTTCTTGGTGCTGGATGCTCCGGCACCTAGTGCCATTAGTCACTATAGTCGATGGTGTGTTCTGAGATGAGGGGGGTGGGACATGAACGCTTGCTGCCGATAAGCATGGGATGCGCCACAGGCATCCGGCAATCCTATGAAACGATGTGGGATGAGTCTTTGTGTGCCTTGAAATCCCCAGGCACTGCCAGAGGAGGAGCATCGCCCGCGGACGAGCGAGTCCTTGCGCAAGCAGCTGGAGGCCGGAGAGTCGGAAGAATTGGGGGGGGCTCTGCGGGCTCTGGAGTCTCGAGGGAGGGAATCCGCGAAGTGGAGGCTTCCAAGACGTGCGAGACTGTTTGACTGCAGCCATCTTCCACACTGAAGCCTTTTCCGGCTTATAGGAGCTAGGCACAACCTCCAGAAGACAACTAGCCGCGTATCTTGCGAGACTGTGTCGGACCAAGCAATCCACGCTACCGTGTCCAATCTTTGGGATTGGGATTGGGAAGCATGGTGACCATCTCAGCCCGTAAGTAAAACTGCACTGGTCCTCTAGTTTTGATGAAGCCGTCCACTTCGGGTGGAAGCTCCTGTAGCTGAATTTGTCAAACTCCCAAACCTCAGTGCTCAGCTGGAGGCTCTCCGTGCGCAGCTGGAGCGAGACTGAAGGCCAGCGATATTTGCATCATGGCATTTAGGGTTCTGGGTGTATGGTCTAGCAGAGGGTCTAGGGTTAGAAATTAGAGGTATTTGGGCTCATTCAGGTTTAGATCCTGCTCGTGCAAGATGCAGGCAGGATCTGCAGGAAGGCCCCTGAGCAAAGCAGAGCGCTGCGAGTGGGATACCGTTTATGGTTCTCTCTTTGGGGGTATTACGAAAGATGCTCCTGGACATACAAAGTATCGAGGCCAGAAGCCATGGTTCTTTCTACAGCCCACGCTCCGTTGGGCCGGGCCCTGCAAATCCTGTGGCCCATGCACTGGAAGCACTCGACGGCACGATTCAAAGTGCAGAGGTCAGAGCCAATGAACCGGTGCAAGGGTGGCGGAGCAAAAGTGCGAGCCTGCCCAAATGCAGCATGCGGTGGTTCTCCGGTGTGGTCTGTACCTTGCTGAAGAATCATGAAGAAAGCATGTATCGCGAATCTCGGTTTAGCATCTGCACTCGCGGAGTTGTTTCTAGAATTTCCGACTTGGTACCTGATACCAGTGGCTGGCACCCACGACAGTCCGACATAACTGTACCCTGCTGTTGTTGTTGATGGGAGGTGCAAGACACGAGAAACACATGCCACCGGATTCGTGGGACAGTCCAACAGTTTCTGGCATTTCGACAGCTGTGCTTTTCTGATCGTTTCGTCGCAACGTGCCCAGGGCCCAACCTTGAAGATGCATATTCACCCCTTCTCAGAAGTGAGCTTGGAGGGCGATCCGCACACTGAGGTCCAAGAGTGGCAGCAAGGACAGAAGTAGCCATAACTACCAGTCAGCAACTGAGTTCTCCTGGTGTGCGGCTTCCAAGCTTCGGAGGGAGTCGGTGAAACGCGGTTCGGATTGCTCCTGCGAGCTAGAATCGCAGCGTTCAGCAGAACTCCAAATCCCTCCGACCTAGTGGAACCAGAGCAGCGAATCTGCGATCGCAGGTTCAGTCTGAACACGAAACACTGCGAAGGCATTCCAGACTGTTGATCACAGGGAAACCCTTTTGTACCCATAATGTTGACGACGTGCTCGAAAATGTTGTGCTTTCCAAAGTCTACTGCCGGGTTGGCTTGTAGCTCAAGAAATCATGTGCTGACTGTCGTCAAGAGAAGCAAGCGGTGTGCAAACCCGAATTAGAGGGGCGGGTAGCATTCTCCAGGTGAAGGCCTCAGCCTCCTTGGGCGCCCAAGTAGTTTGTGATTGAGCATCCATCTCTCAACCCCCCTGAACCGCGAAGCCCCGAAACATCCAACTCCTAGACCCCAAGCCTCCAGCCGTAGCCCTGTGACAGAGTTGGAATGCCTTTTGCCTCAAGGTCCACCGTGGAGAACGTCCATCTCCTTCACAATCGCCTGGGTCCGGTCTTCCTTGTTTCAAGCCTCCTCTTGGGCTAGTGGGCTTGGACCAGGCTTGACTTTCGAGCGCTTGTTGGGCCTCAGATGAAAAGCTCAGTGCACAGGCTAGGGCCGAACCTCTATCCCCATCCTCAGACCAGGCTAAACCGCCCTATCCTTGGCATGAGCCATGAGCCTGAAAGTAGTGATCGCTCATCGGGAGAGCGTTGGATGAGCTGCATAGGAGTAGATAGTCTTGTTTCGGAAGCCTTGAGAACTCCTCCCGACTGGAAGCCTGGACACCCAATCAATCACACCCGAATGCCAGGACGAGCCCGAAAGCCCAGTCCCGAGGCCTGGTGTTTCTGTCGGCTTTTGCTTCGGGTGTTCGACGACAGCCAGGGTTTCCTTGGTGACTTGCCGTCTGTCTTGTGCACTGGGTTGCTGTTGGCGAGAGTGATGGACCTGGGCTTCTACTGCTGTCGTCGGGCGCGGTGCCGAAGGGCCTTTCTCTACTACCCGGGAAATTCCAGCATTTCGAGACCACAACCTCATGACTTTTTAGCTCCAACCTGAATCGCGATCCAGTCTCCGGCTTGTATGGAGGATTGTGAACAAAAGTGCATTCAGGCAGAACCTATGCTACCTTCGTGAATCCCCCAGTTTGAAACTGCACCCTAAAGCCCAAATTCTCAAGCCCTGCAGACCGTCAAGCGCTGTACACCCTCCAAGCCCGGCCCTACACCCAAGAAAAAAAACATCCAAAGCCGCATAAACCGCAGGCCATAGAAAGCTTCCACCCAAAAGCACTGAATCCTAAATTATTCCAAAAACCAGCTTTCCCCAACAAAACACCGCCAGCAGGAAGTGAAGACCCGCCACGAGGCGAGGCAGAGGCGCCTTCGGGGGGAGTTGGGGGAGTGAGGTGTAGGCCCCACACTGCAGGGTATAGGGTTTGATTTTAGGTTGAGAGTTGGGTTTAGATGTTGGAAGTGGGCAGGGTTAGGGGTTAACAAACGAGGGTTGCTTTAGGGTATTATATTGAGAATTACCGAACTCCGCACAGTCGGGCGTTTTGGGGGTTGAGTTTATAGGGTTTAGGGGCAGCAGTTTAGGACCTCCTTGGTTTGGGCTGTGCGGGTTCAAGGGTTCCTACACGAATCCCGCAAATCCCAACCGCGGGAAGCGACACCTTGAGGAAAGCAGAGCACCGGCGCGCCCAGCAGGCGGGAGCTATTCAGAGGGTCCCAGGCCGAGTAGCCGAAGTTCGATTCGGTTTTCAGTCACAAGGCCAGTGGCTGAGGTTCGGTTTAGGGAACGTGGAGGGCTGAGAAGCGCAGCCACAAGCCCATGCATCCAAGAGGAGCGGATTCGTTCTGAGCTGCTTTCGTGTCTGTCTGCTAGCGGTCAGGATGAGGAGCGGCAGTCCCAGCTCAGGCGCTTAATGCTTCATTTGATGCTGGCTGAGGGTCACACTTCGGGGAAAAAGACCGATTCAAGCGCAGTGCGCTTTATCGGGCGTCGTCGATGGTAAGCTTTCACAGTTTGACAGTTTGGCGGATGGTTCTATAGTCAGGCAAGCTGAGAATCGCGCGGCTGCCGCCCGCGGCCGCCGGCAAGAACAAGAGATGCGGAGGCGACACTATATAGCACCAGCGGGTTGGCGGATCAGGGCACTTCCAGATTGTGCAAGCCGAATTCGCCACAGTCTAGAGCAGTGAACTCGATACAAATGATCAAACCCTAGCTCCTAGCCACTACCGCTCACTACCGCCGACTCCAAGAGCGTTCGGGACCAGTTTCTTGCCGGCCGGAGGCAGCGGGAGCTGCTGGAGAAGATGACGCGTGCGTGGGGCCAATACCAGGACCCGACCGAGCTTTGCATCTGTGGCCGGGCAGGCCTCTAACCTTCCCAAGAGGGCCAGAGGGCTTTGAACAATCAGGCTACAGCCCTGCATACAGCTACAGAGCAGAGGGACCCTTAAGGCTCGCTGCTTGCGGACGTTCGGCGCCGAATTGGCCACAAATAAAAAGCCCGCACGAATCCTTGCCTGGATGCTGCGCGCAGCAACTGGCTTCAGCACTCCTGGAAGCCTTCAGACCCTCAAAGAGATCCCCAGGATCAGCTCCGGCTTGTCTACGAGCGCGCGCGGAAGGTCTGGGACCTCATAGTCTAAATGTCGGTAATTTTTCGGGCTTAGGGCCTAGGGTGGTTCAGGGAGTTTCGGGGATGAGTTGGGGAGCGTTGGCTCGAGGTCGCGTTTCAGCCGCGGATGTTGGGAGCCTCTCTCACTCCAACCTTTCCCACTGCAACCTTGAGAAGTCTTGAATCTCTCCAAACTTGCCTTGGAATCTCCATTTTGCACGGAGCTGATGGACTGTTGGGCATCAGGTCTTGAGCATAAGTTCTACACAGAAGCTGCGATGTCATTGGGGGTTGTTGTATGTTCTGCACCTTTTTTCTGCCTTTATTTATTCAGCTGCTGTACGGATTCTTGAGCACTGGAAACAGAGGTTGCCTTGCCTGCATTTCTGGGCCCACTCTTGTACGGCTTTCTCTTGGAAGTGCCGGCGACCGCACCTACCCCCTATACGGCACTCACATGTCTGTTACCTGTTATATCATGGCTTAAGGCGGCGGTGACTAATCTCATCTGACCGCTGAGAAAAGTCGTTCTAAAGCTTGGGAAGACACCGTACTCGCAGCGCCATAGAATTGTAGATGAGTTCTGACAGTCCTGACTCAGAGCTTGTTTAAGGTGCAGTGTATACGGTGTTTAGGAAAGCAAGAAGCCAGGCGGGAACTCTCGACAACAGGCTACCGAGACACAGCCAGAGCCCGACCGCGTTTGACCCCTGCTTCCTGCGGCCCAGGAAAATCTCAGGGCACAGGAAGTTGCGGACCTGGCGCGCCGTCTGCCACGTCTTGTACGCATTATTGGCTCTTCAACTACAGCATTATTGCTTTCAGAGGCCGTCCAGGGAGCAAGGCATGGTGCCTTAAGAGTTGTGGCTCAGGCTTTCGGGTTGCGTGCATGCTAATGCTTACAGGAAGGCTGTCCCACGCTTTGGGTTTCAGCTCATTTTAGCATTTTACGCTTTCACGATTTGTTCGTCGGGTGCTTAGCTGAGCACAGAATCGGTAGGTTTTGGGGGTGGTCTTTGAAGACTTGCAGCGCTCCAAACTACGTTGGCTTCGGTGCTCCGTGCAGGCCAAAGAAGCCTTGAGAACCGAGCGAGAGGTGCAGACAAAGCCCCTTGCTTGGAGAGCTCAGCATTTTCCCATGGTTGTTTTTGTTGTTTACTTTGGCTCTGCAGCTTGCCGAGTGTTGAGAACGTCAAACGTCCCGAATTAATACAGTCTCATACTGGTCATAGAAGACCGTATCGTCCCTTCAGAATCTGCCAACCATGAAACACAAGCGGTTTCACGCACTACCTGTTCTGGCGTGTTGCGTTTTTGTTGTAATGGCGACAACGAGATGTGCGATCGTCGAGATCTGCCTTCGAGGTTGTCGTTCGATGTTGCGATGGGATCGCCGCGAGAAAGAAGCAAAACACGAGACTGTAACCGAAGTCGTTTGCAGGTTGCCCGTCTCCCCGTAGATGTTCGTTAGTCGTGCTCGAAAGTTATGTCCGTGTAACTACGTTGTATCGATGGCACCATGCCCAAGCCCTCAATTCTTTTTGTCCCTCACCGTTGGTTCTCGACGCCTCGGTAGGCTGCGAAAAGGTTTGCCGTGTGCATTGAGGGCACTGAGGTCGCAGGGCTTCCCCAACAACCAACTGGTTCTCCGAAGCTTTCAGCAGAAGGAAAAGAGATCAACCACACCGAACCTGCTTCACCTCTTTCTCGTTAGCTCTGACTTGTCGCTTTTTATTTTTGATGCATCAGGAAGCAGGAGAACGCGCGCAACTCGCCACGGACCCAGCCTGCTCCGGGACCCGGAAAGAACCCCGAAAGCTCGAGATCTAGGTCCCCGGTGAAATGTCTGCGAGTATGGATGTATGGAGAGAGAGAGAGAGAGAGAGAGAGAGAGGGGCACACACACACACACATACACACACGTACGCACACATGCATACTTGTGTAGGACGGCACAGTGTCTGCATTGCAACATGTATTCATTCCTCACTGTTCACTGAACGTTTTGTCTTCTTTGGTGTAGGTACAGGAAGTGCACCCGAGAACGAGCTTCCGATGGCGTACTTCACCTCAGTTTTAGCAATGTTGTAGCTGTGCCCCTGTGTGCTCAAGCTGCCTCCAGTCCCATCTGAACAGCGCGCCGCTCTTCAAACTTCGCTTTGAAAGCATCTCTCAGCGTCGATAGCCCCTCGCATTTGAGAAAGTCTAGTGGGTCTAGTTGCGAGTACACGAAGCCATCTGCTCGCATGACGCTGCACTCCTAAGAGTGCAGGAAGGCAGTAGGGCACTGATCGCGCGTCAAGTCGCGTTGCGCCTGCATGCTCTTTCTTCTCATATTAAATTCCCCCAATCCCAATATCGACAGAGCTCTTCGAACCAGCGTTGCGCGAGAGAGAGAGAGAGAGAGAGAGAGAGAGAGAGAGGCAGACAGAGAGAGAGAGAGAGAGAGAGCGAGCGCAAGAGCGAGAGAGAGAGGGAGAGAGACAGACAGCATGAGAGAGGGAGAGAGACAGAGAGAGTAGGGTGTCCAAGTCTCTGCCCGGAAGCTCAACATCCTTTCTTCCAGGCGAGAGGTCATGCTCGACCAGATGCGGCAGAAGCTGATCGAAAGTTCCGTCCTCGAAGTTGCAAGTTTACTTTGGAACTGCGCTTCCTTCGATGATTTCACGACATTATTCTTCCAGTGGGTGAGCCGTTACTGTACCCAGACTTTGCAAACTTCAGCTCTCGGGCACTTGCCGGTAGAGTAGTTCGGGGAGCCCACCACGCTTGGCCAATGATGCCAATGAATGCTCTCGGCCATCGATTGAGTTCGAATGTTGCTGTTCGGAGCAACACTGCAGGCAACGAGACATGCCAGCGGTTTTAGGAAGAAGGCGGCATGTCCCCGAGAATGTACAAAGCTCTGTTCGAAACTGTTCCAAGAGAAGTCCAAGTCTCATTGGCCTCCATTTAGCAGCAAGCGCTAACTGGCACACACTTTCACTTTTTTGAAGATCATTCCCAATCCCAGCACCCCCGTACAAGACATGATACACATGACACGACACATGATGTAGACATGGTGCATTTAATCCGCCCGGGACTTGCGAGGTGCCGAGCGTGTTGCAAAGGTCTCCGAGAAGCGCAAGCAGCCTCTTGGCTTATCTCGGCTTGGGTGCAGCTGTCAAGGGCTTTGTGGGGCTTGCCACGAGGCCCCGAACTGTGGCCCGAGAGATGCCGGATTCAAACCAACCCAAACTCAGTTGTCCTTAGCCCTAAACCTTAAACAGATAAGACGAAAGCCTCATAGCTGATGTGTTCGGAGTGCACGGCCGAGGCAGGTCGAGACGTGGCAAGAGAAGGCCATGAGAGACGTCGAATGCAGCTTCGATGAGGGGGATTCCCAGCCTTTTCTTCTGTCTGTCTCTCTGGTGGTTTTTGGGGCTTCAGCTTCGGCTCAAATCAAGGGAATCCTTGAGCAAGCACGTGGGTGCCGGGCTCGAGATGATTCCATAGATCTGTCGTCACATCCGCGCTGTGCCTGGCGACCTCGACTCTAGGGACAGCCCTCAAGATCGGAAGCTTCCCCAAACTTCAGCTGCTGTCAGCAGGTCCAACAAGAGCTTGAGGAGAAGGCGCCCGACGGAGGGTCTTTTGGAAATGAAGTTATCTCCACAACTGCTCCACAACTGCCGGCTGCCAAAGACGGAATCCGCATCGAAAGCGCGGCAGCGGCAGGAGCGCCTGGCCTCGGAGCGACGCCAGGAGCGCATGAACTCCATCAAGCCCTGGGCCGAGCTATAATCGATCCTCCCGCAGCTCAGAATAGAAGTAATATTTCATTGTTATGTGAATCCCACCCAAGAGGAACTTGCGCTGTGAGAGCCCGGAACCGTACAATGCCTCTTCTTGGATCGGCATTGCGCCGTATTGCATGCGGAGTTTGCGCCATCTGTGTGTGAGAAGATCGGATTCATGTAGACATGCGACATGTTGAGAAGCACCGGGATAGCGCCTGTTCAGGTCTTCGTCGCAGATTCAAGAGCTCTTGCTTTGCGTTTCCGGTTCATCACTGCAGGTGAAGTGCAGGGAGCGAACGAGTCGTATTTTGAATTAGACCGAAGAAAGCGGTGCGAGTAGGAAGCTAGAGTGACTTTATTGAGCTTTAAGGTGTTTCTAAAGTCCGCTGCGCACTGTACTCTGATAAATCAGGACAAACGACCCTATACGCACGAGTGCCATTACGCCTGTGTAGGAAGTCGGATCTAGTGTCTTTAACGATGTTTGATGTGGGCTTAGAGTAAGCCTGACAGTACCCAGGCCCTTTGCAATAATCTGCAGGAAACTCTGGATTCTAGCGAACCCTAAACCCTAAACCCTGAAGCCCGAAATGTCTCCTGCTGCTCGACTGACATCGAGGCTACGGAGCTCGGTGCACGAGACGCGAGCCGAGATTGTCCAGAGGAAGCTTCCACCTCAGACTTGGGATAGGGTGGACAAATTCCCCATTGACCAGAGTTCGCATCGTGCAAGGGGCTTTCTGCTTCAGGGCATCTTTGGGCACCAGACTAAAGCATCTGCGCATACCATGGCGGGAGGAAGCCTTGATGGGTTGTCCAGTCGCCAAAAACATCTGGAGAGTCTCGGTCTTCGTGTGTGTGTGTGTGTGGTGGAATTCCGGCTTTTGAAAATTGGTTTAGGCAAGAGTCCCTGCCGAAGGTTTGGACAGACTGCAACCATGCGAGTAGAAGGCGTTTCCCAGACGGCTTTGTGTTCCATAAGCCCCTGTTGCATATTGAAGTTGTTGTCAGCATTTGCTGACATGGTGCGAATTGCCGGCCTCGCAGGGTCTTGGTCTTCTTAAAATTCTTAAAGTCTTAGGGCGGGGCTCGAGATTCTGGTGATGAAAGGGTTGTAGCTCAGCGCCATGCTGCAGGGCAACGTTCCTCAGCTGGGATCACCGTAAAACCGAATCCTCGGCCGAAAACCCGAACGCTCAGTGGAAGTCACCAAAGGCTAGACAGATGGACACCCTGAGTCTTAATCTGGTGGGTCCTGCACTCTTAACCCGATGCCTAAGTCGTCATGTTGCTTTTTGCCCCGCAGCCAATCCCAGGCGGCGAGAACTTCAAGAGTTCGATGAGAGGAGCACGCAGGCAAAAGGGACCAAGTACATGCGGGCCAAAAATCTCAGCAGGTAGGATATGGGGTATAGTTAGGATATATATATATATACACACACACATCACTTTGCTAGACTACATCCCAGAATCCTTCAAGTGTGGACCTGGGCTTGGGGTGCGGGGCTTGGTATTGCGCGACTACGTACGCCGAAAGAGGTGCCACATCATTTGCATGTCATGGTCCATGGGCAATTTCTGTGTCCTCAATGAACTGTCTCTGAGAGACTCTGAGACGGACTTGGTTTCGTGGAGAACTGTTTTATTCCCTTACGGCCTTCGAAGTTTTTCAATATGGTATGCCGCCCCAACGAGGACCCAAAGGCCGTAATCTCGTCGTTGAGGCCATGATAGTCAACAGATGCTGCAGGTTGCTAACCATTTCTCGGAACAGAAGCACCCCTCAAATTTGTCGAGGGGCAACGGTTTCAGAGGGTACAGTAGGCCTGTCGGTGGAGAGGATTTCTTCTCCGTAGGGCGGCTTCTCGGTAATTTCATCGTGTCTTCGTCGAGGCAGCACTGTTGAGACCTAGGGCAATAGGTGCTCGTGAATCCGAGAGCCCGAAAATGAGATTGGTTCCAGGACTTCCTCCGCTTCCGCAGCAAGATTATCGGCAAGATGGCCCTGGACAGCGACGGGCAGCCGAAGCTGCAATGCATGGGGAGGTGTAACGGGTCGAAATCGAAGTCGCAGCATAATCGGATTCTTCCGAATCATCCTGTCTTGTGCATAATTTGAGTTTCTGCCTTTGAAGGATTTCTGGATGAAGAGCTTTGAGAGTTTGCTAGCTTGACGGGGCATCAATCGGTTGATAGCGGCCAGAGTACTTGGAGACCGTCATGCTTCCATGTATTGCTCACGCATGGTCTGCACCGCTTTTCTGCGTGAGAAAAGACATGCTTTTGACCTTAGCTGAGTGAGAGTTTCGTCCAGCCAAGGTTGCCCGAAGGTGTCAAGGAGGAGGTGCGGGCTGTAATGATATATTTCTGGCTTCGAAAGGGAACACGCTGGCATCTTTGGTGGCCTCGACAAGCGTCTTCAATCCAGCACCCTGAGACGAGAGACTGGCACTCGCAACCTCAGAGTCTGAGCGGGCCGACGAGCGAGGTCGACGCGCTCAGCGCCACCTTGCTGACGCGGCCCCGGCGCAAGACGAAGGGTGAGGCGGGGCCGAAGGACCAGTGATGAGTATCGAGTAGCTATGATCTTGGGTGATGTGCCCTAAACATGATCCTACCCATGACCCTGCTTCTAGCCTTATTATGAAGTCCGCTGAATGATTCCTGGCCTTGGCAACGCCTGCTTATGGTGGGAACAGAATTCATGTAACTCGGTTTTTGCCGAATGATCCCGAATGCAAGACCAGTCGACTAGGCAACCATTTCCACGCCAAGCAAAGGCTGCCGGCGGCTTATTCTTGATGCAACATTTCTTGATGATGGCACCCTCAGCAGCATTCTTTGTTCAAACAGGGCTTGTCTCGTGGGTATAGTTTGACGATGTGGAAAGCTTTGAGCTGAATATAGCGCAGTTTTCGGGTTCAAACGCGTGCGATTCGACGCTCAGGTCGGAGTGGCGACAGTCGGGCCCCAAGCCTTTTCAGGTCGTTTAGAATGTGTGTTAGGGCATCGCGCCGAAGCTTTCAACGGGGTTTTGAGCAAGGATCCCGAGAACAGTCGCACGGAAAGCACACGACCTCACTCAGGGACTCCAATAGCCCGTCGCCCGGAATCTAATAAGACTAGGAAAATAGTTATATAAGTTATTGAAGTGAAGCCTCCGTCTGCGGACGCTCAAAGAGGCTCGGCTTTCCAAGGCCCCAGCGCTGCGATGCTCAGCGCCGCGGTGGCCGGGCGCAGATTGGGAGTCCTGAGCAGAGCCGAAGAGAATTTTCCCGGCTCTTTGAGGGCCATGTTCCAGATCTTTGGGTCCTGAAGCCCGTGTATATATATACATATATATATATATAGAGAGAGAGAGAGAGAGAGAGAGAGTCAACTTTAAGTCGGCTTATCATCTGAATTTGCCATATGCCCTAAGTTCTATTGAACAAGGTTGAGGGGTGCTTTGGAGACCGTTCAACTCCGTACGCGAACTTCGGCAATTGCTGACGGCCTTCAGGTCGCTTCTCTTATCAGTATCACACCCGCCATGTTACAAGAACCTTACAAGAGCACCCTAAACTCTAGTTCCCATTGCATTCTTACCCAAGGCGGAATGCTCTGACTCCGCCCAGGCACGGAAGCTTTGGTCTTGTGGGTTTGTAAACATCGCAGCTTAGTGGGCTTTAGGGCTTCGGCGCTATGGTTTTGTGGCCTAGAGTCTAGCGCTCAGTAGGGTTTGGGGCTTCGGTTTTAAGGCTTACTGCTCAGGGCCGTGAGGGTTCATGGTCCGGTGTTTAGAGAGTTCAGGGCAGGGTTTAATGGGTTTTGGACTGAGTTTAGGCAACCTGGCAACATGCCGCCGGCAGAGCACCCTGCAACTGGAAGCGTCCCCTACACAAATGGGCCCAGCCCCACCAACTCCCGCTCCCCCCGCGTACCAAAGCGCTACGACGCTAAAGAGGGGCAAGCCTCAGCGCTTGGACGGCTTAGTGTCTTGGGGTCAAAGAGTGGGGTGCTGCAACTTAATTTAATGACATGACCCTCAACCTTAGACCCTTTCAGCTAAGGCAGCTAGGGCTTTCGCTAACTTCCTGGCACTCAGGACGAGACTTGCTCTCCACCAAGGAGCCAGGTCTCCTGCGATGTTTGATGACTACAGAATCCGGCTTGGGTGCTCCATGGGAGGTGGCTTTCGGGTTGACTCAGGCTTGAGAACTTTAGGGTGATCAGGGTTCCAGCGAGCCTTGCAAGGTCTTAGCCAAGGTGGAACGCAAACTAGATCCTACAAAACCTATCCTAAATCATGCTTTATCTTGCCTTGGGGCTTCTCCAAGTGTTCACCTTCTCAGCCTAGGTGAGCCTCCAGTTGGGGGTGGGTCGGCACAGGGGGTTTCTGAACCAAAAACAAATGCGGGCCCTACACTTACGGGTCTTTGCCTCTGTGATAGATCCGATCATTCGGCGTCCCTCCTCCCTTCACGCAGCAGGTTCGCCGGGGTGTTATAAGGGTCTCAATCAGAACAGCCGCAGTCAGGACTCACTGCAACCCCCGTCACCAAGCCTTCGGCCCTTGTCTGTGCGCGTCGCCACTGAAGCTTCAGCAGCGGCATCCAGCCGCCAAAACGAGTTGACCATGAACCAAGCGGAAACTAAACTGTACGTGCCTGCGAACCCGAAGATTGCAATCCAAGACCGGAGACATTCCGATCTGGTCCTAGTGACTTCAAAAGCTGTCTCAAGCTTTTTATTCACAGCGCATCTCTCCTGCTGCTCCTCACGACTTTCCGCACTCACCTCACCCTCAGCCCTGATCTGTTTGGGAGAGCTTTCGGAGCCTACCGGCTGACCCCCTTTAGCCCTTTAGCCCCGCCCTGACACCCAAGCATGCGGGCTTCTCTGGCCTCGCGGCTGCTATGGCTGTCATGGCTGCTTTGGATCCCTTGCTCGGGCGGCTCGGCGACACTGCCACGATGTGTCGTAGCGGAAAAGCACTATTCCGAAGCCCCACCGGGGATCGTGAGCCAGACACCCTTCAAGACTCCAGACCCTCGGACGAAGCCATAAGCCCAGGTTCCGAGGATACCACTTCATGGCGCAACCAAGCCTGCAAGAGACCTTTTAGAGGGGTCGACTTCGGTTGAAATCCGTAGATCAGGACACGGCGTTTCAAAAAGGCAATAGCCACGATCTAGCCAGCTTGGATTCGTTTCCAAGCTTGCCAGCAGAAGTGCTTCAGATCCATCGGGGCATTGCAGAGGACCCGAGCCAGAGAATGAAGCCTCACCGTCCTAGCACCTGAAGTGTCGGTTCATCAACCCCAAGCTTGAATTCTGTGCACCCAAAAGGAAAAGGGCGAGCCTGCCCTCGACTCCGAACACGCATTCTCTGTCCTCGGCGAACGGGCTTCGGCCCAATTCAACTCAACTTCCGGCACTGAAGCCAACCTTACCACAGAAACTTCTCATCCACCGACCTACACTCCCTAAACCCCCGTACTGGTAGGTATGGAGAGCGACGAAGATGTGGGTATTCACAAGGCCGGGTCTCGAGGAAGTTTCGTGATTCGAGGCCCGGGCTTTGGCAGCTTCGGGATGCTCTGCCGTTCAGGGGATTACGACTTGCCGGGTATGTGTCTGCCGAATGTCCTTGCCGAGGGCAGCAGTGGGAGCTTGTTGAATGTTTCGTTCCATCTCATAAATCCGCTGCTGCCGTCAACCCGACCCGATTGCGCCACATGCTGCGGGGCAGGCTTTCGGTGTGGTAGTGCGCTTGAGACCCACATCCTATCCGGTATAGTTTCCACGGCAGACGCTTCCAACCGTAATCGGTAGCATGATGGACACAACCGGAATCGCAACTGTAGGATTGATGTTTTCAGCTCTTGTGGCGGTGCACTTTTGGGCTGGGTGCTCGGATGCATTCAATCTTGAGGCCCTGTCAGCAACTCAACAACAAGTTTACGTGGTCCCAGACTCGAAACGCTCATGCACAGAGCCTGCCTTCAGGTCAACCCCTGCACCCGAATCGGAATAAAATAAGATGTGGCAAAGGGGCTGACCGATGCTGCAGCACGGGGGGACACGACGGCGCAGTCTCTCCTGGCGCAGGTGGGGTTTGTTCTTAACTTGTTGAGCGCTTGGGGCTGAGAGTACGGCTGCACGACGCGCCGTATGGACTGGTGACTGGCGTGTGGACTCGTGATCTTCGGACCCGCAGATATTGTTTTGCACATCTTCGTGAATTACCTTGCCCCTACACGTGCTAGGTACGACCCACATGGGGTTGAGGTTTGCAAGCTGCAGATAACAGGAAGCACTTCTGTGTCATTTGCATGGAATGGAAAGCCTGGACACTTCGCTGTGCAGGATTATTTCTATGGTGCCAACGGTGTGAAGAAGGACGTTCACACAGGCGCCGAGGGCATGGATGACCCAAAATCAATCAAACAAATCACAGCAAAACAAAGCAAACAAACACAGCAAAGCAGAACAAAGCAAAACAAAACAAACCAAAACACACAAACAAGACCGCACACACAAACACAAGCACACTTTCACAAACACACTTTTCACAAACACGCACACACACACACACAAGTAGAGCTTGAATCGCCGCATTAAAATCGGTAGTTAGGAACTTTGGTCTTTCATGAAGAAGAACGAAAGGATACTACACATGTGTGCTTCGAGGGCTGGGATTTCTGATTCAAGCCGTATACGATTCGGTGTGCCAGTCACGGAGAATCGGGTTTGGTCTCGCACCTCCAACGAGGGTCGCCGATAGGGTCCAAGAAGGAGCCGAACTTAGGGCGACTTTTGACCTATGCTGAACTACTATGTGATCTTCAGGTCTAGAACCCAGATATAACCCGGAGCTTGCCCTAAACTCTAGAAGTTTATGGAATCCCACATGCTTAGATTCTCTGGGCTCAAGGCCCTAGGCCCGGGATGTTGATCGGCGTATTGAAGAACTTCCGAACAAAGTTTGTATAGATATACACAGATACATATATATATATATGTATGCATACATACATACATAAACATATAATATACACATGACTCTATATATATATACACATACATATACATTACATATACATATACATATACATATACATATACATATACATATATATATATTTATTTATTTATTTATTTTTTAAGTATATATATATATACATAGAGAGAGAGAGAGAGAGAGAGTCTTGTAGACCAAGTGAGACACGATGAAGGTCTCTAGAACCCTATACAGCCCCTGTGGAACATTGTAAGATTAGAGCAGCTACAAAGCGTTGATCCATGTTGAGGCGTGCGATGGGCCACGGTTGCAGCCGAAGCCGGCGACAGGCAGGGACTTTCAAGATTGGAGCCTTATTCATAGGGGGGTCTTCTTTGCAATTGTTTTTGTAGGGAGATGCACGTATATGTACGCACATGTGCGTATACAACATATATATATATATACATACATATACATACAAGTGTGGACACGTTTGTGTCATTCTGCTGTGCATGCGACAAACTCTGCACCCGTCAAGTTGTCTTTCTTTGCATGTTTGATTTTCATGTGTTGAGTCGTTTGCATGCGCAGGGGGCATGGCGCTCTTTCTCCTAGCCATGCTAGCAAAGCTTTGGAGTTGGACTGTTTTAGTCATTGACGAGTGACGCTGCACCTGCAGAGTTGTAAATGGATCCAGTATTGGATAGCTGTTGGACTCGAACATCATCATGTGAGCAGTTGTTGTTATGACAGTGTGACAAGAGCGAGTCTGCAATGCAGCATGCTTCTCTGGCTTGCTCATCGGACAGGATGTTGTTGAAGTCGATAAATCTTTCACACCCATTCGACAAAACCACGACCAATCCGGACAACAACAACAACAACAAAAACAAAACAGAATGCGATGAACAGGATCAAAGAGCTGGTCTCGCCCACATGCTCAGCATTGTTATCTTCAAAGTTGTGTATGTATGTATGTATGTATGTATGTATGTATGTATGTATACATATACACGTATATATACACACACACACATATAAGTATATATATATATATGTATGCACACATTCGCAAAAACACACATGCCTGCCTGCCTGCCTGCATGAATGAATGCACGAATGAATGTATGTATGCATGTATGTACGCAGGTATGCATGTACGTCTGTGTTTATGTATGTATGCATGCATGTATGTATGTATGTATGTATGCATGTATGCATCACAGAGGCGCCCTGCCAAATACTGGCAGGACATGACCCGCCAGGCGAAGCACCATCTTCGTTGCATTGCAAGAATGCATGTATGCGTGTGAGCACGCATGCATGGTTTTTTTATAAGTTGTTGTTGTTGTTGGTGGTGGTGGTGGTGGTTGCTGTTGGTGCTGGTGCTGGTACTGGTGCTGGTAGTGGTGCTGGTGCTGGTGTGGCTGCTGCTCCTTTTCGTGGTTGTCGGCTTCTTCTTCTTCTTCTTGTTCCTGCTCTGGTTGTTCTCGTTTCTGCTTTGGTTTCGCACTTACAAAAATTTTTTTGTAAGCTTTTTTCAAAAAAGCTTACCAGGTTCTACATGAAGGTAAGACTCTCAGACTCAGAGCCCCACCCCAAACTGGTAGAACCCGGAAGCGAGCTTTCCTTTAGTGCGGTTATGATCTGACACGTTGTTGTAAGGGCTAAAGGCAGGCTACAACCCTAGCCCCATTCTTTGTAGGTGCGTAACAAATAAAGTAAATAAAGCCCTGAAGCTTTAAACCCCTACAATCCGAAACCCCCTAAGCCCTAAAGACCCCTCTGCCAGGGACTCCCAAGAGCTCCTAGCGGTGGCCTTCGGGCGGGGCCATGAGGACATCGATGTCGATGTCAGCTCGGCGACCCAGGGAAAGACCGGAGCACCCAAGGAGTATGGTCTGTTTGCTTGCGATGCAGTGGGACGTACTCCGGTGAGGATTACTAGAAATATGGTGGCCCTCACAGACTCGAGAGAGCATCTGGCATGGTCACTGCATGATTTCCGGCTGAGTTCGCTGGCGCTCGAAAGGGAGGATCGCGTAACCTAAAGGCTATAGACTTGGCTACGAGCCGCCATCGGCTTGTTAAGGGGAGGCTTGAGCGCTCCCACCCCCGTCCTCTCGAGCATGGAGAAGGCGGCGGTATATGGTGACAGAGGGACTCAAAGGGAGACAGAGAAGATACCCCAGGCCCAAGCCCTAAATCAACCGCTAGACTCCGCTAGACCCTGGACCAAGCACGCCACGGCGCCATGGCACATGGAGCCAACAACTGGTTCGCTGAGGCGTCGAGGGGAGTTCATGTCCGATGAGTTGACGACTTTGAAGCCTTGGCCAGTTGCAGCAGCTCGGCAAAGACTTCGATGGCCCGTCGGACGAGGAGAAAGAGCCCGAGGAGGAGCTGGGATCTGCATCCTTCTGAATATTGCTCTGGTTTTGGAATGTTTTGGACTTGGGCCTGCTCACTGGTTCTAGCTCTCGCGCCGGCGCAGCGCCGCGCCCGCGCCAAAGCAGACCAAGAGCGGTTCGTGCAGGTCGGCAGTCGGCACAGGGCGTGAGAGGCTCAAGGGGTTGAGGGGCTTGGGGTCGTATAGGGTTCAGGGTTTAGGGAGACGGCCGAGGTTCAATCGGCAGAGTGAGGGAGTGTTGAGAGTCAGGTCTTGACGGCTTGCCGAGGTCAATCGATGAGCCACGCAGTCTGGCAGCGCAAAGCTCTCTCCGCCGCCTCCTCCTCCCCTTCCTACTGCTACCAGTACCGCCACTAACTACAACTATTACTACTACTCCTCCTCCTGCTCCAGCGATTCTACTATCCCGATGCAGGAAGAGCTTCGGAAGAGACCGCCGCAGCAGAAGGCAGCTGTATGTTTCTGGGATCCTGGGAACAGGCTCCTTGTAACGGGGTTTAGAGTCACAGCGTGTAGGGTTCTAGGGTTCACGGAATCCCGCAACTCGTTCGCGGGGGGTTGTACATAACCTGAACAAATACTACTGACGAATGACCTGTCCATCGAGAAATCTGCTGGTACCACAGCAGACGACTCTTAGCAAGCGTAGCATCTTTGTTGTGCTCGCTCCGAGCCTTAAAGCCCTCTATAATTAACCCTAAACCCTTCAAGCTTCAACCCTCAACAAGCCGATTGCAGGTGGATGCGTATCTCGCACCCATCGTCCGCGCGTCACAAGCCTTCGATGCGCGACATGAGGCGCCGGTTGAGGACTTAAAGTAGCTTTCACAGATCCGACCCTGCAGGCAGAGCTCGAGGAAGCGAAAAAGGAGCGCAAGGCCAAACAGGCGCTCCCCACGATTTTGTCGTATGGGAGGAGGCTTACATTGGGAGAGGATTGGAACTGCAGCTGTAACTGCAGGTTTACATTTACATAGCAATATCCTACACCCCAAAGCCTAAACACACCATTAGGGCTAGCCGGCTAGCCCTACTTAGAACCAGTTACTATGTCCTCCTCGGCGTCTCCCTGCGGGTTTCCCGGGGAAGTATAACAGAAGAAGTTGTTGTAAGAGCTCGAAAGCAAAAGGCTCAACAGAGCCACAGAATTCGGAACACGATGTCTTCGCGCATGCTTATGGCTTGGAAGTACGCGCACGCGCAGATGTTACAAAGCGAGGTTTTGGCATCATTGGGAAGACGAAACATGCAAAAACTCGAGGTTTTGTCTTGCGCGAGTGCGGAGTACTACTTGAAAACATGACCGGGTTCCATGGTGAATTTGTAACAGGGGAGCGAGTTCGCTGGTCTTTGCAACATGTCGCACACCTCGATAAAACACACAGAATAAAACACACAGAATCCCGATAGGCGCGTGTTTGTGTCGTGTTTCGGTTCAGAGTTCTGGGTTTCTTGTGTTGAGGACTGAAACAAAATGTGCAAAACCTCCAGGTCTTGTCTTGTGCGAGTGCGGAGTAGTACTCGAGTACATCACGAAAACCCTGTGTTTCATGCAGGATTCGCAGCAGGGAGGCGAATTAAATGGTATTTGCAGTACTTCGTACACCTCGATTAAGTCGTCGTCATCGTCATCAGCATCATCATGTCGTCATCGTCATGTCGTCATCATCATGTCGTCATCATCATGTCGCCATCGTCACGCGTCATGATCATCATGTCGTCATCAGCCCCCCCCCTCCCACCCCCCTCAGCTGAGCCCAAGTTCCGAATTGAGCTCCGAAATCCAACCCCCGAAGTCCTGAACACAAAGTAGTTGCTGGGAAACCCCAGGGACAAGCCTCCTCTGAGCCTCTCGGTGTCAGTGGGTCGCCCCATCGAAGATCTCCGATAAACTCCGAAGTCGGAGAGAGAGCTTGAGACGTTCAGGAGAACTTTCTTAGAGATGACGAAGTCCTACACTCGAAGTTCAGATTCCCTATGCCTAAACCTTGCTTGCCCTGAGCCCTAAACCGCTGCTGCTACCAAATGCTACCCGTGTTTCCACGGCTTACACCTGCGAAGTCTAATTAGCTCACGCGGGTATGTTTTGCGGTTCTGGGAGGCTCTGGAGGCAGCTGAAGAGGCCGCGAGTCCGTCGCCGCAGATGCCCGACGACGTGAGCGACGACGAGCACAAGGCTCAAGAGCAGGACAAGCTGAAGGCTTTCGGCAAAGAGGGTCAGTATCCATCCTCAATCTCACAAGAAATTTCGCGCTGCAAACCCCGATTGTCCTGAAAGCTTCCTACATCAAGGCCCATGTCCCGAAGACCCCAGCACCTTCACTCAAAAAGCCATTCAGCCCCGAACCGTCGGACTAGATCAAGAGGCATCAGCAACAGTTTGCCAGGATCCAGCACTTCCAACCGAGAGCCAGTTCATCACATGACCGAAGGAGCCATACGATGTCTTCGACTCCTTGAAGGCTGACAGATTGCAGTGGCTGAGGGTGTGGGCTTCGATGCTTGAAGGGTCCAAACCACTCCCAAAGATCTGCACTTCGCATTCGGAGGCACACACACCCTGCAACCTTTCGACGAGAACAGTCATCAGAACTAATCGAGCTCCCTTGGAACGAAGCCACGTAGCCAACGGCAGGCACCAGCGAGGTCGACAACCGTCATCCCCAATGCCTCGGTCGAAATCTTCCGCCTTGTCGCGTCTGGAATTGAATTCAGAAGTGTTTGGAGTGTGTGAGGGGCGGTGGCGAGCGCCGAAGTCGGCGAAGTTGGATCCTTCTTGCATTTTGCAGGGTCGAGCGCTCAAGGCTAATCGGCTATTCGTGTTCCTGCAGTATTCCGATGCTTTGCGCTCGCGTGTTAGGTACTGCAGTAGGACTCAGTAGGACTCTTTGCCTTCCGAGCCGAGGGCTTTCGATATTACGCATCTGCGAACCCTCGAACCTTGCACTCCACGAGAAGAACCCGCACTTCGGAGGTGGCGGCTCGAAGCTGCACCGTTCAGACCGTGATGACTCACTGGAAGGAGGTTTTCCAGGCTCGTATTTGGCAGGGGTTTTGCTCAAATTTCGAGGGTATCTTCCTGTGCCTCCCCTGAAGAGGGCAGCGCTGCGCTTTCGGAGTGTGCGGCTCCCCTTGTCTTCTGAGCTCCAAAAGAGAGGAGTTCCGCTGGAAAGAAGGCTTTGCAGAAGCAGATGCAGGTTTTGTCGAACCGAGATCGAGGCTCCCAACCAAATTCTCTTAAGCCTTCGTGGCTTCCAATCAGCTTTGCAAGGGAAGATGATGGGAGAATCCGTTCAATATAGCGGCCGTTATACTTAGGTTGTGCCGGGGTGTATACGGAGAGACTTCTACCAGGCAAGGACACATAAATACCAGACATCTTTATCAGGCTCACAAGACGAGTCCAAACTTCCTGCTCCCTGGGCCACGGAGGAAGCCGAACCAAAAACACCGCAGCAGACAACCACCACATCGTAACCAAAAGCCCCAAAACACCCCTGGACTCCAAACCATCCCAAACCTAAAGCCCGACAACAAAGTCCCGACCCAAAATCCAAAAATACACCCTAATCCTGGTTAACATCTCATTCTCCCTCGAACTTACAAACCTTCAACCCTGGGAAGGGAAGCCTTATTCAACCCCGATGAACCCTAAACCCGAGACCTTTGCACTGAGCCATTGAGGCATCCAGCAGCAGCAGCCATCGGCTTGCGCTGATCTACGTGCTACCCGACCTCGCATCGTTTTAGGTCCCAGTGCGCGAAAAGGGCATATGGCTTTAAGGATTTGGGGCGTTAAGGGTTTGGGGCTTTAGGAGCTTCGGGTTTTAAGGGTCTATGGCTTCAAGGGTTTGGTGCTTTCAGGACTGTAGGGCATCAAGGGTTGAGGGTTTTGGAGTTTGTACTGGCTTGCCAGGTCTTTTTTACACAGGAGCCGAAGGTCTGAGATCGCGAGACAAGAATCTCAGTCTGTGAAGGGCGTGGGTGAGGCCGGAAATCTGAATGGAAGCCCTGCACCCTCCAAAACCCTAAACCACAGACCCCGAACCATGAACCCTCAAGCCTAACCCGGAAGGATGTCGGCTCTTGGTCGGAGCTCGGCGTAGGCCCAAACCAACACGTGGCCGTGTGTTGCGAACCGGATCAATCGATCTTGCTCTCGGCCTTCAGGCCCATTCCTCTCGCTCTGATTCCTTCTCCCTCCGTGTCCGTCTAGTTTCCTTACGTGGTGGTCTCTTTCCGTTGTCATTCCTGTCATGTTTTTGTTCTCTCTCTCTCTCTCTCTCTCTCTCTCTCTCGCTCTTGTAGTCTTTAGATGCAGAAAGCCAGCGACTCCAGCCTCGAAAGGCAGCCGCGAGCTCTGGAACTTGCATCACAGCCTCAAGCTTGGTACACCCTTACCTTACAGAAACCCTTCTTATAACAACCCTTCTCGCAATCCATAGACTCGCCCCTATACTCACCCTTATACAAGCCCTTACAGTAATCCGTATACCAAAACTTATACAAACCCTTCCAGTAACCCTCAGCCTGTTACTAGAGCCAAGGCTCAATGAGCTGGCTAAGCAGCGGCCTTGTCTGCCCGAGTTGCAAAGCCGGGTGCTCAAGAAGGCTTCTTTTGGGGTTACTATAAGGGCGGCGGCAGGGGTCTTAAAAAGGGCTGCTTAAAGGCCTGTCGTGTGGAGCCTTTCCTGGAAAGGTGCCACCTTCTCCGCTTCATCAGAATCCCAACCTGGAAACCCAGAACTCCACAAGAATTGTTCTGACTCTTTAGTCTTTTGTCCACCTGACAAACCCGGCTCCTCCGTACCGCCTCAGGCAGACCCTAGACCCCATGAGCTCTAAACACCTAACACCCTGAAGCTATAAATCCTTAAAGCCCTGAAGCCTCACAACCTCTAGGATTTTTCTTCAATGCTTCGAGGCCTATCCGACTGCAGCCTATACCCTTGAGCTCCAGCGCCTGGAACACCTCTCCAAGCCCTTCCAGGTCTTCTCCGGCAGCTCTTGACTTTCGTGGCAACCCTGACCTTCTTGAGCATGTCGGAGCGCGACAGTAGCTCTGACCGCACCGGGGGGCTTTGGGTTGAGGGCTTCGTTGCACTTGGGGCCTTCCATCGGCCTGGTCTGGCCTTCTTTCACCGTGCTAAACCGAAACAGCCACTGCCAGCATTCGAGACGCTAAGCTCCGATAGAAGACGCAGCCCGCCGCGACGTGCGAAGAATGCACCAGGCTTGTAGTAAGAAGCAGCTCGCTCGCTCATCCACTGCAAACACCACCTCGAGGGATCCAAATCCAACTCACACGACCGAACCCCACCCCAGAATGATGTTTCATAAAAGGTCGCGAAATGGAAGTCTCTTTTCGGTCCTATTCCCCCTTGCGCCTCATTTCAGTATTCACTCAGATTTTCGAGACATCACCGTTGGCACTGCGAGCTGCTACAGCACCAGCTGGACGTTTTTCATCATACATCTTCCCGACGCATTTACAATCAGTCCAAGGGCACAGATGGGGTCTTAAGCTGAGGCGCCACCTTTTATGTCACCTTTCAGGTATCCTCATTATAGGACCCTTCCATTTAGGTTTATAGGTACATCCCTCCATACAAAGCAACACTGAGACATCGTGCGCTTCGTGTTCCAGCCAAGCCCTGCCTCTCCGCGCCGGAGTGCTATTTGGGAACTGGCTGGCAATTTGTCTGCATCTTTACTCATGCATGTTCACAGTGCTCATGTTTGAAACATGCGGTTTGCTTAATCTTACCAGTTCAAGTTTATACATTTTTCAATAAACTTATCTTCCTGCTACATGTGACGATCAAGGCAAGTCCGCAGAATGGCAGCAGTTCTTCGACGACTGGCGTGTGGACATGCTACAGGTGCTTTTGACGAAGTTTCAGCTTGGGGCTACTTTGCAGTTAGGATGTACCGAAGTAATAGGGTTCGTTTCAAGGTCCAGGATTGATTGAAGATTGAGGGCTTCGGATTTATGAGGCCCTTTGTTTCGCCTACGATTGTTCCAGTTGTTTTGCTTTGCATTCCGCGAAATCGGGACACAGAGAGTCGATGAAAGGCACATACCGTCAACTAATCATACACTGCATAGCATAGACCGGAGGGACAGACGTGGCTTGGGACTTGAAGGCTCAACGCTCTACACATATTCGGGGATGTAGGAAACAACGGGCCGCTGTTGATCTAAGTCTTTGGGCTTTCGTGGCAGCTCCAGTCCTCCAGCGATGTCTGGCAACCCGAAATCCAATGAGCCTAGAATCCCTGACAACTTTGATGCCACGCTTGGGGGCTCCTCGGCCAAGGACTCCGTAGAGGCTCCTGAGCAGAAGCGACCTCGATTGGCTGAGGAGTAAATCGCAACCCCTGATGCTCTGATGCTCTTGGCTACTGCATTTCTGTAATTGGGTGCAATTGAAGCGTAGTGGTGTTGGGGTTCCTGCGAAGTGGTTGCGATGGGATCCGACCTATGGTTCGAGTATAGGTCCGGCGGTTCAAAATGCCAAACGCATTGGTAGACAAGAGCTCGAAGCACCCGAGCGTTCAACGGTGCGCCCGGAGGGGCTGCAGGCTGAACCACGTAATGATTGGATCAGTCCGGCATGACCCTCATAATAAGAACATATATTCTTACACATACGTGCATATAGAGGTAATTACAAACGTACATGAATGCCATGATTATGTACAAAGAGACGAGTGGTTCCCTCCTGTGTTCCCCCTCCAGGCTACTCCTCAAGCCTCGAGCAGTGCTTGGTCCGACTCTCGAACCGGATTTCTCATCACCACGATGCAAGTCGGAAAAGTGACGCGGATTTCCACCCTGTGCTTCGCACTGTTGGGCGTTGCGTAGGCTCCGGGCTTGCAAACGGAGGCCTTGTTTACTTCGTCTTGTGCTAGTCCAGGTGGAACGAATCCGGATCGTCCAAATCATAGCCCCTCCACCCATACTGGTAGGGCAATGCGGGTTAACAGGCGATTCGAGTTGCATGGTTGCAAGGCCGAGCCGTGAGCTACGGCGAGAAGGCAGCAGAGCAGGGCAGCGTGAAGCTGGGTGCCTCAGGAAACCTCGGCAGGCTGGGCAAGGCTGCAGAAATCAACCGTCAGCAAGATCGTCACTAGACAGATAAAGCTACTACAGGCGAGGCGCCGAATTTGTAGGGCCACGTGTATCCCAAGCCCCATGCCCGGAATCTTGGCATCCTACCAGGTCCCAAACCCTGACCCAAAAATCCGAAATCAGATACCCCAAAGCCACCCGCATAGACCCTAGACCTTCAATCCTAACCCCGCCGGGCTTACTCGTATGGTTTAGGATTCAGGGCCTAGGATTTAGGGTTTAGCCGTCAAGGATGAGGGCAGGTTTTTTTGGGATTCTTTTTTTCGATACTGTTTCGCCGTTTAGGGATACTCTTCTCTCTCTCTCTCTCTCTATATATATATCTCGACTCCAAACCCTCGAGCTGTACAAATGCTCCTGTCGCTTCAGCTGCTTTTAAAGGGATCGGTCGAAGAAGGAAGAATACGAACCATGACTCCTGACAGCCATAACCCCGGTCCAAGGAGTCCTTCTTGCTGGTTTCTGGCAGCTCCAACGGATCCAACATCCAAGAGCCAACAGCATGTCCGAAAGACCTAAAACCGAAGCTCCCTACACCCTGAACCTGAGCCAACCTTAGACATGTCTGGTGCGAGCCATGATGGCCTGGCGAAGCAGGATCTGCGAAGGAAGGGTGTGTCAGGAGGTGCTTGAGACGAAAAACCCTAAACCCATAATGAAGAAGCCTGAGTATTCATCTAGATTATCATTTCGGGTTCCTTAGGATATCTGAAGCATAGCATATCCTGTCAAATGTTTTTCTAGACATTAAAGCTCTGAGATTGACCCCCTGATTGCTCAACCCTAGACCCCGTGCTTAAAGTTGCTGTTGCTGTCTCGAGGTCGGGTCTTGCGATATTTTCTGGCTTCTATGTGCTTGTTTGTAATATGGCGGCGAAGAGTCTAGCGAAAAAGTCTGCCCAGATGACTGCTTCGAGGTTCAAGGTACTCCTAGCCGAGTTCTGACTGTGCTACTATCTCGAGGACTTGCATTTGTGTTCCCTCACGAGTACGAGTATCCTGAACCAGGGGTTTAGGTAGGGTTTAACGCAGAAAGACAGCATACAGATTGTGTAAGCCAAACAGTCATTATGCCTCCGCCGGTCCTTCCGTTTCAATGTGGACTGTTCTTTCTCAGTCACTGAGCCTTGTTCACTTGAGGTAGTGTTCGCGTCCGGGGTTTCGGGCTTTAGGGTTTGAGTTTAGAGTTTTATGTTTGTTGGGCTTTGGCCTGTCGGCTTGACCGACCCCTCGAAGAGCAAAAGGCCTACAGCCCTAATCCCCAGACCCCTTAACCCTAAACCCCTAAACCCTAACACTGCCCAGACTCTAAAATCCCTAAGCCACGGAACCTTTTTCAAAGAGAGAGAGAGAGAGAGAGATCGCGAGAGTTTTAGCCCTGGCCATCGAGAATCACAACCCTGAGCACCAAGCCCCCGACCGCCCCCGGCCTGCAACTCCAAACCCTGAAGGAGGATTGTCAAGAGACGGCCCGAGAATCTCTCAGTGGCCCTCACACTGTGCGACTACGTCACCAAGCCATGTGCAGATCGCGAGGTCGCTGGGCTCATAAGGGGAATATAAGAGCGTCTACAACGGTTTCTGATCAGGGCGCATAGTACATCTCCCGACAAAAGCGAATTTTCCTTGTCTAGGTATGGATTTGGGGGATAATGTCATTCCGACTTGCCTGCCTTAATTGACGAACTACCAACTGCTGAAACGACCAGTGCTAGTGGGGATTGCTTAAAGGGAAATGAGGGTGAGTAGTTCGATCATCCGAGATCTGGGGGTTTGTAGTCGGGTTGTCAGACTTGTTATTCACGGAGGGTTGCGTATGTATGCCATATTTAGTTCAGTCCTTTGTTGGTAGGGTGGCCGCTCTGGAAGTCAACCTCAGCAACAGGGATCCTGTGATTTCGTGTCCGTCACGTCTAGGAGTTAAGGGTTGACGCTTAGGGATGGAAACTCCCACCTTGAGATATGTTGCACAGTCAGAAGGCAGGTTCCTGGTTTGGCCAGGTTCTCCGTATGAGGGAACAGTATTCCGACCGAATCCTTGCTCCTTCGAACAACACCTACACCTACACATGTCACAAGAAATGTCAGTATCGATCATTTCTAATCAGCAGGAAGTACCATATGCGGTAAGGTGTCTCTTAACTACGAGAAATAGAGAGAGAGAGAGAGCGCAATTCCAGGCAGATGGAGAGGATTATGGCAGGAACAGCTGTCTACACTGAGACGCCTGTCCATGACACTACGCAGCAACATTGGTACACTCTCAGTTCTTTTGGACTATGAAGCTTGGTTCGTAGAAGGTCTAATTTAAGTTTGGTTTACATAACCTCAATTGCAAATCACGATCTGAACTAAACTAAACCTAAACCCTAAACCCCCTAAGCTCCACTCCCGGCTCGAGACCCCTTAGATTCATGAACTAAGATAGTTCCTCTAAACCCCGAAGCCTGAGCCACACAATGCATTGAATCCCTAAGAATGAAGGGCCAGATGAACCCCAAGCGAGCTTTTGGTTCATATCCTGTATGCCATATGCGGTTTATTATGCCGTAAGGCGCAAGACACAGAGCCGCATACTTGTTTATCGTCTTTGTTGTGTAAAACCGGAGCCTTGCACCCATAAAGGAGAGAGTGATGCGGGACTTGAAGCACATCCTGCCAATTGAGCCAACAAGGTCCCAAGAAGCGCCTCTGGCCATTTCGGTGAAAGATGTTGCGGGTGCTTTCTCTTTGTTTTTGGTTTAAGAGTTCATTCAAGCTTTAGGGTCTTTGGATATTTCAGGCTTAGAGCCTTTGTCGTTAGGCGTAAGCTCTTTGATTGAGTCCGTGAGCTTCTTTGGAAGGAGCCGCCGTCCGACTTGAAGCCGGGACCGCTGGAAGAGAAGAAAGGCGATCCGGAAAAGAGCAGGAACCAGCCATGATCGTGGCATATGGCTGAAGGATAGAATCTGCATTATCCAATCTGAGGACTACCTGCCTGTAGTTCCCATTGCCAGTTGTGTCAGGGGTTATAGCTAAATTGTAATCATCCGGGTAATGAAGCGGTCATGACCTGCTCTGTTGTAGGGTGTCGGGCTACAGGTATGTCATAAATCGTGTAGGTCAGAGACCTGAAGGTAAAGCAGGACTGCGTCCATCAGCAGCCTGGAATCTCCCCAGTCCCAGATGGCACTGTGCCATCCCGTTGCAGCCATCCCTGCACTGGACGAACCATGCGGATTGCTTCAGGGCTCGGGAAGCTACTAGCCCAGAAGCTTGAAACACAACGTTTAACCTGGAACTTGTTGGCTTGCCATAAGGTCTGTTTTTTGTTTGAGACTTTTTGTTTGTTGGGGTTTGGATTTCCCCGGTGCAGGTTTAGGGCCCCGGCTTCTTCGAGCAATGCGCTTGTACAAAATCCCACTTCCAATTCGCATGCCATTGTACAGAGGTTCGGTCATGAGTGCAGCTGGTGCCAAAAGCTAAGCTGATTTTTATGTTTCTTCTTGCAGCGAACCCGAGGGTTTAGGGCTTAGGGCTTTGCTTGTCAACGTTTGGTTCCCGCACTGAACTTGCTATTGCTGTTGCTCTGGCGGCGAGTGTGAAGTGTGGTCCGAGTTGGAGGGGCAGGAGGAGGGATCCAAGCTTGCAGCAGATTCTGCGAGTATGTTTGCTGGTGTACCGATGGGTTGCTAAGCACGGAGGTGTTAGCAGTACACTGAAACCCGCGGTGTCTTGGCTCCTTGCACATGTTATATCTTCAAGACTGACAAACCTTTTGAAGCGCAAGGTCGCAAGAGCTCCTAGGGAAGCTCTACTACAACGGTACCGGCTTGGAGCACTTGCCTGAGCCCCAGGAGATGACAGAACGTAAGCATTGGCTTTGCCCGGACAGGATTTGACAACTGCCGCTCTCCTTCCTTGAGTCTTGGATAGTGGTAGAGGTTCAGGGCGAAGGTAAGGCTTTTTGCTGCAAGCTCCTGATGTCTTTGCCAGGGGATCTGCAGGGACGCACTTCAGGGCTCTGAGGCTCTCCAGAAAGCAGATCGTCAAGACTGAGGACCACTGGGAGTCGAACGTATACTGGCGTGTATAAACAGTTCCACTCACTGGGCTTTTGTATGGCTTGTGGGGAATCTTTGGGCCTTAGGGGACGATTTATGCAGTCTCCTGCATAGGCTTAGAAGGTCCTGACATCAGTCGAGGTCCAAGGACGAGCGAATGGCGGCAGCCTTCAAGTGGTGTCTTGGTTGAAGGTCCGGTGTGTAATTAGGGGGTTGGGGCTTAAAAGTTTCGGATTCAACAGAGCATTGGAGCCCTGGCACCACGCTTCAGACTGGCTAAGCACGAAGATATGAGCAGCTTCGCTGAGTGCGGAAGTTTTTGGGGCTGGAACAAGACGATCGAGCGAGTGTTGGATGCGGGAACAAGTCAGATATCTTTTGAGGTTTCGGGAAGCCGCAGAAGCTGGCTCCATCCATGCGAAGAATGACCTTGGCGCATCCTGGCTGCAGGACTTGAACTTGATTTGGAAACTACCACATTCTCGGGCGGAAAGACCGGTCGAAGTACATCTCAGAGACCGGTTGTTCCTAGCCCTACACCCGAAACTGCTTCGAAGAGCCAAGGACATGTACCGGCTTGGGCATGGCACCAAACAGGACTACTCAAACGCCATTTATTGGTATCAGATCCTTGGCAACGTTCTGGGTGCTTCGTGCAAGCCCGAAGCCGTAAGTTTGGTATTCCCCCCCCCCCCCACCCCCATGAAACCCTAAGACCTGAACACGGAAGGGAAGCCCTGCTCCCGAATCCCCCAGATGAAACAAACCTTGGAGCCATCAAGTCAAGAAGCCGACCCAGATCTTAAGTTCCCGGCCCTGAACCCTTCACTCGAACTTCCACGTCAAGCTAAACCCTGATCCTTGGCCGATAATCCTTCAAATTGCAAACCCTTCCGCCAACTATCCAGGAAGATAGCTGAAATCATAATATGAAGCCCCTCATGATTTAAGGTACAATCCTTAATTATGGGGTATTGGGCTCTTTGGGCCCATTATGTAACCCTTGAACAACCTTCGTTGAGGAAGGTTACTGTGGAGCTGTCGGATATTCTGGCAGCCGATCCGCGGCTACCTTCTGCACAGAGGAACAAAACCTCCGTCCCTTGGGCCTCACCTTTCGTCTTACCAGGGTGAAAAGGTTAGGATGTTGAGGACTTACGGCTGAAGGAAACTGATGTTTATCGTCACCGTGTTAGAGCCATTGTTATGATCGGTGTTCATGTCAGTGCTATTGGTACTCCTGCAGTCCCGGTCACTGTTGGCTTGTCACTTTTCTTGAAGGTGCATTTTTGGGTGCTATCCAAATTGGGATAAGTTAGACTAGGTTGCTGGGCTTTTGTTTGAACTTCAGGAACAACATTGCTAAACATGCAGGCCTGGGCTGTGACTTCAGACCTCGACCATTGTCCGATGGACATTGCTCCTTGAGGATTCGAACAATGCTACAATTCGCGCCCAGTGTTCCAAGGCATCATGGTTCTAGACTTTGGCCTGCAGGCTTGAAACTCTGAAGATCTGGTAAGGCAGCCAACTCTGTCCTTCAGGCTCTACCGCGGCAGCCGAATCAATACTTGTTTGATTTGGGCCCCTACCGAATCAATTCTTTCCCCGCCACAGGATGCCAAGTCCGGAAGTTGAGATGCTTTGCACGTTTATCCCTTGCTTCCTGTGGCAGTGCAAGCCAACTCCAGCTAACAAGCAAGCTATGCGGTCTTCCTAAATTAACCAGAGTTAGGGATGCTAAGACGACGAATCTTACTCCCTCCTTTGTCTGAAACTCCCAAATATCGCGCAGAGGACTTTAGAATCCTCATAAATGCCAAGAGCATATCTGAGGTTGCCCGATCCTTCAACAGCCTCGGAGCCATGTACGCCTCCGGCTGGGGTGTTGCCAAGAATCGGACCCTTTCCCACAAACGAACCAGATGGTTCGATTTTGGTTTCTAGCTTTTTTTGTAGAGAAGGTTGTACTTGAAGTTCCATGCACAGTTTGCTTGCATTGGTTTATTCCGGCTGTCGCCATTCACGATGAGGCTACAGTAGACAGGAGGCTCCTGCCCATTCTCAACACGTGGAGAGGGCGGCAGCATTGACGGCATGTAGTCCTCTAGAGAATTCTAGAGACCTTGAACATCAGGTTTAGTCTCCGAGCTCCCACAAAACCCTACAAACACTATTCCGGCAGTCGCCGCGCTATCGGCGTGCATCGAGTTTTGGGCTGAAGGCTTTGCGTTTGTATATACCAATGCAGTGCCGGATTTCCAACTACACATCACATGACAAGTGCATGCAGATCGGCAGTGCAGAGTGTACAGCGAAAGCAAAGTGGTGAGGGGATCGTCAGCATGAAGCCTGAACGGCAATTCGGTAAAGCAAGGTCGTTCCCTACAGGGCTGAGCGCGACCTGAGCGGGCCTCAACAACCCAACCCAACCGTAAAAGCCTAACATCTTTTGCACGAACTTCTCCTATCCAAAGATATGCAAACTGCGTCCACCCCATAAAGGAATCGGGCCATTGAGTACCTGGAGCAGGCCCCGACCGCACGATTCAGTGATCTGAGTTCGGGATATTTCGGGCTCTAAGTTCAGAGCCCCTGAAATAGCTGTGCGGCAGTCGGCGGTGTAGCAGAAACTGCTATTTACGTAGTCTTGCCGATGGTGTTCAAGCCATGAGAGCTACGTCAAGGAAGCCTGAAGTTACTAGTACCGTGTGAGTACTCTGTAAAGGCATCGCGGCATGCCAGGCGGAGGCTCTGGGGCACCCGCATGCGAAGCGCAACCTGGAGAGCCTGCGTCCTGCGAAGAAGGAACGAAGGGGAGCCCAGGGTTTTGAAGGATTCGGAGCCAAGGACCCTCTACTCAACTCTTTGGGCGTAGTTGATTCTTGGAAGTATCGACTCAGGCTTGCTGTGGTCTCTGCGATTTGATCAGGGCTTGGCTAGGGAGTTGCTGCAAGGAACAGCCACAGCAGAGCCACAATTCGTTTAGTCAGGTTAATCTGCAGGCGAGCCAAGTTTCGCATAGTAACAGTACTCCAGCGGATGCACTCCTTCTGTTCGACTTGAAACTCCAAGTTTGGAGCTCAGGGTCGCTACGGCAGCTTGTTGACATATAATATGGGATCTTTCGGAAACTCAGGCAGGTAACGATCCTCGCTAACTCTTGTCAGGACCCACAGTGGGTACCCTAATCTTGGGACCCCCCGCACATGGCCCCACCGCCCATACAAACATCGACGCAAGCAGCCCCGCGCAAGCAGGAGACGATCCAAGCAGAGCTGTAGTGCCGATCGGAGCTGATTGGTGCTGGGATCGTGGACATCTCGCATAAGATGAGAGTCCAAAGCCAGAAACTCAAAACACCTCAAGACCTGCGCATCTGGCCCGAATTCCCAAGCATGCATACCGTTCAGCGTGTGAGCCTGTAAGCAACTACATACACCTGATGCCGGCATCGATCGCATCCTAGTTGGATTTTCATGGGCTCTTGCAGCACGATCGGGAGTACTTCATGTACATGGCCACCTTTATCAGTCTGCGTGTCTAAACCCTTAAACCTTCAAGTAAGCTTCGCTGCCTGAGTATCTGTTGGCGCGAGGAGAAAAGGAGGCGCCGACAAGGGCCGAAAAGGATCCATGCTCTAGGGTGTTGTTTTTCCCGGCTAGTTTTTTCAACGTGTCGATGCCGCAAGTCACTCTCACCGTGGCGGAAGGGGCCTTATTTCTGAACTGAAGCTTTCAGCCCAGTTTAAAGCGGAGCAAGAGACACATAAATTCAAGGCCAGATCGGCAGCTGCAGGGCTTCGGGGCTGCACAGAAGGTGACAGTTAGAGCCACCTCGGAAGTCAACAAGTGGACTTCGGGAACCTCGGACTCGCGATAGGGCAACTTCCGTGCCGACTAAATTTAAATTAAATGTGACTGAGTCTGCCTTTGAGTTGGACGATCTCGCTTCTGGGCCCTGGAAGTTGCTCGATTCAAGGGCGGAGGTGTCCTTCATTGTCGGAGTGTGCTGATGCGACACCTGCGAGCTAGCAACCGTAACGCAAGCTCTGGTGTGCTTCAACCCCAAAAACCCTAGAGATGCTATTTCATGTTCGAACCGCGCCAGGCTCCTGCGAACGCCGCTGCGGCCACAGAGCTGAGAAGGTCAGGTCCAGGGGTCGCCGTGTGGGCGCTGGTAGCACAGTGCTGCTGTCTTGAAAAAAGGTGCTCAGGGCTGTGATGGAGGCAAATTGCTTACAGAGGTGCCTTTGGAAGCCCGTCGATCGGAGCCTTCGATGTCTAGATTCTAGATTACAAGGAAGATTCTTGCTGAAGAAAGCCAGGCGCTTGAATGCAAAGGCGCTGACGGAGGAAGAGGCGAGAACACGGGCAATTCCTCCCATGAAGCGCCCAGTCAGGGGATCCGACAATGGTGACGAAGCTTGAGCTGAATGTCAGAAGAAGATGTTCATGGCCAGTGCTGACCGTTTTGCAGGGATCCTGAAGGTCCTGGATAATCTGCTCAAGAGCAGACTCTTGAAACACAGGAGAAGCTTGGCAGGTCGCAGAAACGTTGTCCGGACAAGCGACCCGCAGAAAGTTGATCGTCAAAGACCCTGATTCAAGCGTGTTTGAAATGGGGAGGGGAACCTGGTTCTGCTGACCCACAACCGGGAGTTGGATGTATCTGTGTCGACATTAGAATCGCATCAAACATATAGCGGCTATAGCGCCATCCCCGAACTCAAGATATCTAGGAGCTCCTCCCCCCGAAAAAGGATGCGCGGGGTCAGACGGGGTAGAAGAGGCTCTTCAGCTCGCCTCTGCCTCCGATGGGCCGAAGGCAACTTTACGCGGGCTTCAGGGTCTTTCGGAGGCTGCACAAGGTGCAGGGGTTTCAAGTTTCAAGATTTGAGGGTGTAGGATTTTCGGATGATTTGGGGGCTGGCTGGCGGCTGGCATGATGTCTCCCGGCTTTCTGGGATTGTCACGGATGCGGTGACGTTGCAAGGCTTCCATAAGCTCTGTGGGACCATTGCAGCACGTTGGTGCTTCCAGGTGTCGGGCCTGCATCAGCATTGTGGGAAGCTGTCTAGTAGCTTGCGGGTTTCCGTAAACAGCTGCAGTGGGCCGTGTAAAAGGGGACTTGAACATTCAAGCATCATGGTTGAGGCCCTTGGCATTGAGTCGCATCCATGGGTTCGGTCTGAGAAGACCATGGGTTTCTACCCACAAGTACCCACCCTAGAACCTTCTTCTTCACATCTCGCCCTCGCTTGACCCAGGTGACCCAGGGCCCTAGTTTGAAGGAGAAAATTCGCTGCGACAGGCAGCCGCCGGAAACGCAGCCCAGCGCCACATCCTCGGGCATGGATCCGTGTACATTATTGTTTGGTTTAGCTTGGTCAAGATACGGTCCCGAGCAACTGAAACCCTCACGCCTGCACTGTGCTAGTTGATGCCTGTTCCGGTCGCGCTCTCCGGTCCTGATGGTCGTTGACCCTCGTTTCCTCACTTCCTGGCTACTTGCAAATTCAGACCAGGCCGATCTTCCACCGAAGACCCGTACCCGCGGCCTCAACCGGGCCCCAAAATCCCAAAATGCTAAGACCTCTCTATAAATCCCTATATCCAGGTGCGAAGATTAGCAAGCTGGCAGCCGATCTGGCGAAGGCTGACTGAGTTCACAAGTCGCCACATAGATCCTGAGAGCTCGCGAGGCCTTGGCCTTGGGCTAGCCGGTTCGTATACTCCGTGATTCACATCAGTCCCGCAGAGGACCCGGAAACCCTCCCCAAACACCACAATCCTCAAATAGTTCAGCCCGTTGTAAGGGCAGCGGATTGACAGAATCTGACTTGGCGGAGGTGCTTGGCGTCTCGAGCGCCGCAGCGGCGGCCTCTTCGGCAGGGACTCCCAGAAAGAGCGCACCGCAGCGCACCGCTGGGAAGCTCCCGCTCCCGCTCCCGCTAACCCCCAAGGCCGAAGCTTCGCGGCTCGCTTCGGCTGCCTTTGGGGCGCAAGTGTTCAGATTAGACACAGCGTGTGTGCTTGTGCACGCCTGTGCACTGTCGCCAGCAATCTTCTGAAGCGAGGCCCTTGCCGGGGGGGGGGGAGTGGGTGGGTTTGCGAGCTTTGCGGCTTGCTGCCCTGGTACCGGTACTAAGGAAGATCAGTTCCACAGCCTCGGCTACTTGAACCTCGAGAAAGCCGAATCTGCCCGGGATCTTGGAGAGCAGTCGCTACGGGAGGTACGACGGGTCTAAACGCCTCCATCATACGGCCAGGAGGACACGTCCGGGTACGGGTAGCGGACCTGGTTGTCCTCGGGGGCAGGGCCGCGTGAACAGCCCCGGCAGAAGCAGCACTATATACGACAGCACGGACCCTGTGAATGGGTGGATTAATTGATAGAACTGGGTGTTGTCGAATACGGAACCTAACATCTCGGAAGCCTCAATGCAGCTGTTGCTACAGGTCCTCAACGAGTTCAGCAAGGCAAGCCGCGAGTAACCTTGTTCCGTGGTGTTTACCGGGTTTGTCGGCCGAATGGACTTCACACGCTGAAGCGAATCCATGTGAATGCATGGATCGAAAGTTCATCGTTGGGTTCAATTTGCTTCATTTGGCACCGATCACCGAGCGAGAGGAGGAAAGGGGAATGTCAGGATTCAGCCCAAGACGTAAAAATCTTTCTTCCCACGACTGAAGACAGGCTCAAGGGCGGCAGCCGAAGACCTATCTCGTGAAACATCCTGAGCTCTGGACTCCAGGTCTACTAAGCACCCATTATCCCCTATGCCCATGCTGTCAAAAGGCCCACCACGTCTTTCCTGCACAGGTGCTATCGCAGGTGCAGCGAGAGGCCGATGTGGCACTCATCTTGAAGCTGAATTGCGCAAGGCCCCTGCACGGGGTGGAAGGCTTCAGACTTCAGGAAAGGTGAAGACTGGCTTGTCTCTGGCCGCTGCCCCTGAGTTGTGGCGCTGTTTGCCCTCGGGGAGGAAAGGTCCGGAGAGCTATATAATTCCGAGTTCGTGCTCCTGCTCTCGGAAGATGCCAGGATGGTGGTCGATCTTTGCTGTAGGGTCAAGGACAACATCGCCAGCTTCGAAGTGCTTTGGGCTCGGAACACCCTTCTCAACGGCTATTTGGATTTTGGCAGTGGTTATGTTTTCGGGCAGACAGTCTTGGCTTGCAGATTCATGACACGTGCTCGGTGAAGCTGGAGCCATGTCTACCCATTTCATGTGGTGCAGCTTGGCAGACAGACAACCAAGCCCCAACGCGCAAGCCTCAAGCTCCAAGCCTGGAAGCTGAAACCCTGGACGCTTTGATGTGATGTACTCTGGCTGAGCCCCTTTTCACGGCTCAGGGCTGGCGACAAGGCGTCAGTCGTCGCATGGAAGCAGCGCCTCGGCTCCGGGGTGCCGGGAGAGTTGGCAATGAAGAGTAGTAAGAATGCTATCAGCATCACCTTCCACTTACCCAAGAGCATTCCTGAGACCGAGGCTAATGCCACGAACAATCGCAATGACAACAGGCACAGTCGTCATCAAGTAGTTAGAAACTTGAATAGTCAGTCATAGTTCCTTCAGTGGCAGTATGAACAACGATAGGCAGTGTTGAAGGCCCAGCCGCAGATGTGAGCCCTTAGCCCCACTTCTATCCAAAGCCTAAAGCTTATCAGAGGAGAACGTTGAAGGCTACAGCTCTTTCTAGAATCCTTCGGCAGCTTGACTCAGGAATTGCAACGTTCAGCTCTGCGCCCTGACGCTGGGCTGAAGCGGGCGTTTCGATCCGTCAGTCGCCTCACTTACTGCCAAGGTCCACGATGTCCACAGCAAGAAACAGTATCGATTGCAGTAACACTTCCGATGCATGTTGGCTCTTGCAGCTTGCACCTCTTCAACTAACATTGGTTGCTCTAAATGCTGCTTGAAGTTCATGTCGGTTTCAGTGGAATTCTTCTCTCCTCGTCTCCTGATCTCAAGGGGGAGGGGTAAGTTCAATGCATCCCAGGAAGTGGCTGGGTCTCCTGTGCAAGAGCCGCCTCGCCCGTTTGGTGCGCCCGCGTTGCGTGGTTTGAGGGGCCATGTGGCGGTGAAGGTTCCGGGTCGCAGGTTTGCACCAGGCACCGTGCAACAGCATTTTTACTGTCCTGCCGAATTCTCGATTTCTACTTGGCCCTCGTGTCGCAAATGGGCATTCTGCTTTTCTGCCTTGCCACAGGTGTTGCTGCTCACCGGCCGAGTGACGCTGCTCGCCGATGCGGCCACTGCATACCTGGACCGGAGCTT